AACTTTAGACCCCTCTGCACAGACCTTCCCGTATGTCTCATGTGCCTCTTTGACCTCTCACCCCTTTCCATCCTCCTCTTTTTTTTGGTCTCTGCCTTTCCTTTGGCCTCCCTCTTTATTTTGGCCTCCTGCCCTTTTCAGCTTCTGCATTTCTTTCCCCCTCCCACCCTTTCTTGGCCCTCTACCTTTTTGCAGCCTCTATTTTTTCTGGCCTCATTTTCTCTTCTGGTCAATCTTTTTTTCCTCTCGCACTCCTCTACTTTTTTTTCTCCCCAACCTTCTTTGTGACTCCACTTCTTTTGCAGGCTTCTTCTCATCTTTAGCCTCCATTTCTCTTTCAGTCTTCCTTGCTTACTCCATCTCCAATCTTTTTTGGCCTCAAAACACATTAGCACTTGTACTATATCTTCCAACTCTTTCAGTAAATATTCCCTAAAGGAAAATGTATATTCCAGGGAGGTAAACCCTGTCCTGACCTAATGGGCTGCCCCTGAGTACCAGCACATCTCCCTCCTGGGCACAGCAGGCACTGACTCACGGCTGGGGCATTTTTAGGAATCCTGCGTACATTGTCTGCCAGTGCAGAGCTGTCAGGGATTATTGTGAGGGCTGGAGGCCTGCCTTTCAAATAGAAATCTCACAATAGAAATCTCTTTGCAGAAGAATTTTTTGAAAACCCGTTCAGCAAGAGAGAATGAGACACTATGGCTTTGTCACAGTCTCTGCTGTGGATGCAGGAATCCTCCCTCTCCCCCTTTGTTTTAGAAAGGTGCCTGACTTGGTGTTTCTCAGCAATGGCAGTTCCTATTTTTTCCCCTCGTTTCCAACATTGGTGTCTGTTGGTTTAAAGAACCAAAGCAAACACTGAAGCACAGAGCAGCCACAGCAGCAGTCAGTGACTTGCAGGTTTTATATTCCTCAGATTCTGTTGGTGTTTAACAGGGAAGGTGGCACTGCCCACCAAGAGACAGGGACTCGTGCCTCATGCCTGGGTCACAGGCAGCCGTAGCCTCCAGCCCAGGGAGGAGGCAGAGGCAGGTCTGTAGCATGCAGAGCACCCGGCACCTGCAGGTGACAAAATTCTGGCTGTCACAAGCCTTGCTTTCCTCTCTAAAAGCTTGCTAAGGAAAAGAGTATAATAAAATGCTTCACTTCTGAATGTGGCAGACCCTCACAGTGCCAGGGTTAATATTTGGGAATTCTCTTGGGAAAGGACCCCCCTTTCCCCTGCTGTTTGTGCTGACCCAAATCCCCAAACCCATTCCCTTGCCCAGAGTACACACTGGACCAAGAAGGCTGCCCAGGGATGGACCAAGCAGAGATCCCATAGACAGCACCCAAGCCCAGGGTACTTGAGCCTGGCAGCTAACTCTGAGGAAAAAGATCAGAAAAGAGGCAGAAAAAGGTTTGCCGCGGGAAGTGTTTCACAGGGTGCAGAAGCTGGGCTGGCTGCTGTGCCCAGGGTGCCACTGACTCACAGGGTGACATCTAAAACCCTTTTGTCCCCTACAGACTCCTTTCAGAACTGTTGTCTGCTGTGAGGCTTTGCCCTTTGCCCACAACGGTCTGGACACACAGTTCACACATGACTCACAATCCACTTGCACTCACAAAGTCTGTCCTTGCTCCTGGCTCTTAATTTAGATCTGTGCCTCAAGAGCTGAAATCTCAGATCTTTCCTTCCCACATCTCTGGGGTTGGTAAATCCGCCTGTCCCACCTGCAGACCACCCTTGCCAGCTCTCACCTGTGCAGGGACATTATTTCTGCAGAATCATAGAATGACAGAATCATTCAGGTGGGAAAAGCCCTCTAAGATCATCAAGTCCAGCCATTCCCCCAGCACTGCCAAGGGCACCCCTAAGCCCATGTCCCCAAGTGCCACATCTACACATCTGTCAATCCCTCCAAGGTGGAGCCAGCCCGGCAGTGACCCATGTGCAGGGTCATGGTCCTGCACCCCCACGAAGGATGCAGGTCCCACCGGACACTCCCAGCCCAGGGGGCCAGGCAGGCAGCTCGCCCAGCCTGCAAGCCCACCTTGGGGGCACAGTCACCCTCACCTGCTCAGGGTGGCCCCCAATTGCACACTGAGCTGTCTGACCCGTGCTCAGTCACAGAACAAGAGCAGGAATGGGAGCTGATTCCCTCCTTCACTCTCATCCCTGTTGCTGTGGTGGACAGGAGGGGGAGATCTTTACCATGACAAAACCTGCTTTGTGCATCCAAAGATGAACTCCAGATCCCAGCTGTTTGCATACTCCAGACTCTCTGCACGCCATAAAGCCTGTGAAAATTATGCTGATCATGGGAGCTCAGTGCTGGATAACCCAGCTGCTTCCTGCCCATCTCCCTGCCACATGCTGCCTGCGGCAGTCACTGAGGGCACAACCTTCTGCATCCCTGCACCATCCAAGCAAAAGATGGAGCACCATCCACCCCTCCACACGTTTCCAAATCCCCCAGACATGGCACAGGGCCATCCCTGTATCTGTGACTGGTAGATCCCAAGGATGTCCTGCTTTTACCTAATCCAGTTATGTTTTTCCCCAGAGAGGTTCCTCGTTTCCCCCAGAGAGATCCACTGCTATTTCTCCAACACCTGCACACCCCCACAGGGCACGTGGGTGTTGTACACAAAACTACTCAACTGGGTACATTTTCCACTAGAATTTCTACCTCCTTTTGTACTTAAGTCTCAATTACAGGTCAAATCTTGGACATAAAATACAAGTATTTCACATCAAATAAAACACTCTCCCCTCCCCTTGCTTAATATTCCCATTGTTGCAGGGTGTTCACAAAAGCTTCCGACTGATGGGAAGAGTTTACTGGCTGCCAGATTCCAAAAAGGGATTTTGGAGTTTACACCTAACTTGGTGTGGGTGTGATCTTTACCAGGTGCACATATGTACGTGTTCACAAACCACAGCTGGGGGATGCTCACTGACTCCCTGGGGATCCTGCATCCCACTGTGGGGCTGAATGTGCAGCTCACGGCTGAGAAAAATGTAAAAACTCATTGGGGTCCTGGTGACGGCACTCCCAGCTGGGCAGGGGGCACAGCAACAACTGTTCCCCAAACTGCCTGGTCGTCCCAAAGATTTTGGTTTAGTTTGGGGCTTTTTTCCCCACTTAGACAATTCAGGGCATCTTTCTGCCTCGATCATTGTGAGCATCACAGCAGAGAAGTTGTGGCTGCCCCATCCCTGGAAGTGTTCAAGGTGGGGGTTTGGAGCAACCTGGTCTAGTGGAAGGTGTCCCTGCCCATGTCAGGGGGGGTGGAATGAGATAACTTGGAAGTCTCTTCCAACCCAAATCATTCTGTGATTCTCTGATCCTTGGCTGCATCCCTGTGGGCCAGCCTGACCCCCAGCTTTCCCCTAAACCAGCTGTGGAAACACTGGGCACAACAAACATCCCGATGTCTTTAGACTGCCCACTCAGGAGCTGTAAATAGCCAGTGTGGGTGTCACCTCTGGGGCTGAGGTTCAGCAGGTAGTTAAAATTGCAGCCTTCTCTCCTGCACCATGCTCTTTGTGGTGGTTTGTTGTTTACAGAGATGAGAAAGGGTAGAAGAGACTTCAAAATATATCCCCTTCCCTCTGAGGACTCTGTAATGGAAACCTGTGGCAGCATCCAAGGCAGGGCACTATTTGCCTTGGAGCAGTGTGGAAGTACTGCCTGCTGTCACACAGCCTGTGGTCACAGATGTCACGGCAAGGACCAAATAGGTGCCCATCTCTATACAGACACAGGTGCCTCGGTGTGTCCCTGTCTGGGACAGGAGGACCAGAATTAGGGCTGTACCTTCCACCAAGGTCTGGCAGGTCCTGGTGTGTGACTCATACTCCTTTCTAGGCTGGAGATGAGGGTGACAAACATAGAGCTCAGTGCCCGTGGCCTCCAGAACCACCCACTACTGGAACTGAGAATTCCCCATATTTTGCCTAAAGACCACGAGTCTCTACAGACTCTATAGACCATAAGAGGTGGAGATGCCCAGCTGCTCTCCCTAGTTTACTCCAGTGGCTACTTATCCACACTAATTATTCCAGGTTTTTTGCTAACCCACTCATTTGCATTGAACAAGATTCAGCTCTGAGCTTGCCTTGCTCTGATCTTTCATCTGAAATGCCCCTTGCATGCTCTTATGCACTGCAGCTTTCCGCTGGAAAGCATTTTCTCCAGTCCCAAAGTCATGCAGATAAGAAAATTATTATTTATTGGAGGATTTTCCTGGTAATAGCAATTATTATCTCAAGCTTTTATTGCACTGTTAAGTTATTGAGCAACAGTGTGCACAGGAAAACACAGCCCAAGCTCCTTACTCATACAGCTTGGAGGAAAAAAAAACCAGGAGGTAGCATCCATGGGTACTAGACACTGAATTTAAAATAAGGTATTGAGCAACAGAATTAAGAACAGGATTCTTCCAGCCAGTCTTACTTAGAAGTTAACAAGAGCAGCTGTACAGCCCTTACACAAACATTGCAGGATGAGCATCATTAACTCCCTGCACATTATCATAGTAAATCACTGCTGAGCTTATGGTGAACCCAGGAACCAAGTGATTTTCCTTGGAACAACCCAGACCGAGACTCTGCTGAAGGAAGTTGGATTTCTGAGCGATGATATGTCTACTGATGGTTAACCACGAGGATGGATGTGGGGTTTCACTTGGCCTGGAGATGAAACCCTGGATTCCATCATCCTCTACTTCTTTGGGGAAGGACACGGTATAAAGGCTGAACCCAAACTCAAATCCCAGTTTTGAAGCTGGAGCCAACCCTCAGCTGGGCTTGGCCACCCTTCAGATGGCCAGCTGCAGGAAGTGCTGCCTGACACCGCATGAGCATTCCTCCTTTTTGCTCCTAATTCCATCCTCATGAGTATAAGCAACAGCACACGGAGGTGTCGGACCCGTCTGAGCGCCGAGGGGTTGGCGAGGGCTCGCGGCTGACGGAGGGTGACCCAGAGACTCAGTGACCAGGCACGTACCTGAACGGGGCATCGGCAGGAGGCTTGGCTTGGGGTGGGACTGGAGGGCTCAGACAGGACGTGGTACAACAGGAGAACCAGATCACCCCTTGGATTAAGAGTATTGCATAGAGGGAAGTTTTGGGGCTAGAGTCTGACATTTGCTGTCATCTGTCCATCCTTCTGTCCGTCCATCCGTGGGCGCACAGGGCAGCCACACCTGCAGGGCCAGCCCAGACAGGACAGTCAGGGCTTTGTGGTCTGACACTGTGCCCAGTGTCCTGCACTGACACCGGGGGTGGGTGGCAGGGGGATGGTGGCATTTAAAAGCCCTGTGAAGTGTCACCCAGCTTAACATCCCTCCTGCCTGCTGGGAACTGAGTGGTGGGTTCTGGGCAGGGCGTGGGTTGGGACCCCACTGCAGGGACCCCAACTGTTTGGAGCTCCCCAGCCTAAGGGCTGCTGAGCAGGAGCCAAGGGGCACGTTGAGTGCCCCCTGCCCCCAGGGGCTTCCTACCTCATCACAAAATATTACAACCAACAACTGATAAGGTGTTACAGCATCTCCTGTGGTTTCCCCTCCCTCCAGACACTTTTCCCTGGGAAGCCAAGCACAGGCAGACCCAAGGAGGAAAGGTGCCCACGGCCCTGCCCTTAACCAAGATAGCAAACACCCAAAACAAGGTACCTGCACCTGGTGTGTCGTCCCTGGGTCCTTGGCAGCTTTGGCAGCACAGAGCCACCCTCCTTGGGTGGCAGAGATGAGACCACAACGATGGTGTAACTCACGGCACATGTCAGTGGCTGCTCCCCGTCAGTTCCATGTGCCAGAATGAGGTGCTAGGAGGCAGCAAAGCACAGAAGGAGGGATAACGTTTTACAATGGTCTCAGCACAAGCCTGCAAGAGGGAAAGGGCACTTTTAAAGGGCAGACAGCACCTGCCATCTCCTGGAGGAAGGAGGAACCCTGGGAGTTTCTCCACTAATTGCCTTTTGTAACTAGGACACCTGTTGCAGTGTAGCAGAGCCAGACACGCCCTCGGCAAATCCCCTAGGATGAGGTGGGAAGCACTGGGTGTAGCTGGGCTGCTCCCAGCTGTCACCTCCTGCCAGTTTCCTGCACAGTGGTCACAGTCACAGCCACGGCGGCAGTGCCGGCCCTGGCAGCCCAGCCCTGGACAGCAATCTCTGCTCAGACCCTGGTCTGAGGGAGGACCAATACCAGCATTCACAGGGGAGCCACAGCCACCCCTCCTCATAACTGAGCAATGGCATTGCCTCTTCTGGAGGTGTCCCCTCATCCTCTGGGAGCTGCACATCCTCCAGCCCATCCTTGGCTGGAGGGACTGAGCTTTGGCAATTCTCTGTCCAGTGTGTTCTTTCAATCCAGCAGGTCCCACGCATCCGGCTTGCACTGGGAGTCTGGGCTTAAATCCCCAACATGAGGTGGTGGGATTTGTGTCTGCAGCCAGTGCTGCTCGTCTACGTGTCCGTGCTCTCGGTCTGAATCCAGACAGAACAGAGGGGCAAGATCTTCCTGGCAAAGCTCCTGCTCCCAGGCTGGATTGACTCCTGGAGCTGGAACTGCAATTAAGTTAATCACCGGATTGCAAAGGGCCGTGGGTGGGGAGGTGGGAGAGGCGGGAAGGTAATTAGAAAGTGGGTCATCTCTTGGTTTTCCTGTCTCCCCACAGACACCACCAGTTTGCTGGGATGTTGTACTGGCTGTCCCAGTGTGAGGCAGCATCTGGGGTGTCCCGGGCTCACAGCCCTGCATAAGTCACACCAGGCTCCAAGGCAGGATACAGGGCTTTCCCCTGGGCATCCCTACAGGCACAGGATTTTCTCCCTTCACCTGGGATGGGTTGACCCCTGTCCCTATCTCCCAGGCAGGATGCCACCTTTACCTAATCTATCTTTACCATGATGCTCCTGGTGTTTGCCATCAGCCATTAGTGACACAAACTCAGTAAAATGCTAAAAGTTTCACTCCTACCTGTTTGACCTGCCACAAATCCAGTGTGACCTGAGTGGAATGACCGTGTTTCCTGGTAGAAAGCAGGAGATGATGACAGCAGGCATTAGTTAAATTGATTTCTACACTTTTGGTCACACTTCATGCAACATATTCCACTTCCAAAGGGCAAAACCTGGCTGATAAATATTTCATTGAGCAGTTAATCACATTGCTAGAGATAAAATCACCTGGCCATAAGCAAGACCAGAAACGAGCCAATGCATTCTGCTGATACACACAAAACAATCTATTACATATTTATTATATGCTTTGCCTAATCATTTATTAAGTCACTCTTAGAGGATGCATAGTCCAAGGAATTTAAGTCGTGCCTTGCACCACCAGCCCTTGGGATGGGAACACCAGACCTACCATGCTGCCTCTCCTACAGCAACCAGAGCACGAGGAAACCTCTGCCTGGTCTCTAATCTTTTCCTGGGTGAGGAAATCTATCCCATGCAGTGGATCTCTAAAACTTATGATTAATAAAATCATTGTTTATCCAAGAGATGTTTATTCCACATGCCCAGGTGTTCTCAGATTGCCCCAAAGCCGTAATGGGCAGCCCATAGGCTGCTTTGGGAACCCTCAGGACAGACAGTGGGTGGAGGAAAGCCATAGCCTGAATTCCTTAAAAATATTCTACCTGTTGTAAGTGCTTTTGATTCCCATATGAAGTGTCTGAACTGCCTGAGAAGTTACTGTTCTATCCAGGTGGCTGTAGTCAGAAGTGGGAATGGGAAAGGAGCCTATCAGGAGGTGTTGCTGTCTGATCCCAGCTGAGTCACATACCCTGGTAGAAACAGGATTTCTACTTTAATGGATAAAATAACACTTTCCAAAGTAAACCAACTGGAGTGTTTTCACTGAACTCACCAGAGCTGGGTTCAGGGGATGCTGATCTCGTTAGCTGAACCTTAGGAGACTCCTGGATTTAGCAGTCTCTCATCTCTCTGGAGTACTCCTTGGAGTTCTCTGCATGATCTTTAGCTGATCATCTAAATGACAATTGTGATTAACTGCACTCTTCATCACTGTAGCCACACAGAGACCATTCAGAACATTTCTTTCCAGCCCCATATAAAGGCTTGTGTCCAAAGCCAAGGACAAGTATTTGAGTCGACCTCCAATCCTGGTTTAACCCAGTATGTGTTAACTTCTGCTTTCCTCCACATAGTAGCCAGGTATTTTATATCTAAGGAAAAAAGACAGGCTCACCTTAGTTGGCCACCTCCTAGTTTGAATCTTTGCTGGCTACTTAATTGGTGCCACAGGACCCATAGAAGAGCCACAAAAGTTCCTGGCAATCCAGACTTGCAAAAAACTTTTGGACCATTAGCAATCCTCCAAGTTGCCATCAACACCACCTTTGTCATGCAAGCAAACGAGACAGCAGTGCTATCTAGTGAAATCTGCATCGACTTTAAAACAGGAAGGGAAAACGACCCCACTCCTTTTCCATGGCTCCCAGCCTGCGCTGTTATTTCAGAGCTCACACGCCCATTATTGGCAGCACAACCAGCCCTCGATGCTCAGACTCGGATGCTTGCAGAGTTTGGGATTTCACATCAAAGCCACTGGTTTGGCCAGTGATAAAGTTTGGAACCAAAGCCAAACTTCTCAGAATTTCACAGCTATTCCGGTCCCACGCCGGGCTCATCTCCCCTCAGTGCTGCAAGGAGCAGGCACGCGGCAGCGCTCCAGCCACCACAGCTCAGCAGGACCTGGATCAAATGAACATTCGGATTTAACTCTCTTTTTAAGTCCATTTTGTCCTTTAGAAGGCTATTTCTGATCCTTTGGGGTGCTGACATCTCCTTACAGAAGAAAGAGCTGGGTGCCATCAGGCACCCTGGTGGGACCCCTTGCCCCCTTGTGCCACAGACAGAGCTGGGGCTGCCCTGGAGCAGGTGCCCTGGGTCCAGCTCCCAGTGATTCATTCTCTGTGGGGGTTTTCTCTTAGCACAGCACAGGAAAACTGTTACACAGAGGTGGAGGAAAGAGGAGCCACAAACACAGCTGGTCTTGAACAAACACTGTCCAACTCAGCTCCAGCTCACTGTCCTAGTGCGGCCGGCGGGGTCAGTGCTCAGCAGCAGCAATCTCCTACAGCAATCTCCTCTTGGAATATTTTCCTTTCTCCGTGGGGCACCAAATAATTGCTGGAGTGTGGTGTCTCTCAGCTTTGCTTCTTGGAGAGAGTGCTCTGTTCTGCTTTGAGCTATTTAATAGCACTGTTGGGCTTCTACCCAAAGAAATAAGGCCCTTTGTGTTGTCTTTGGTTCAGGTTCTCTCTCTCACTCGTGCTTTTTAATTCCCATAAAAACCTAACATGTTCCTGCCAAAAGTGTAATTGTAGGACCATGAGTGGTGGTGTGTGTAGAGGAACGACTCCGTGGTCATAAAGTATGAGAAGAGCGATAGTATTTAGCACAGAGAGACAACAAGAGTGGAAAAGTGTTCATTCAGCTTTTCTGTGGTAGTTAAGGCAGCTGTGAGCACTGGAGTCATTCTAAAAATAGCAGAAAAACCTTAAAGGAAATAAGTAATGATGAAGAAGCTGATCTGGTCAAGCCACCCAGAGATGCCCTCAGACCTTCAGGTGACCATGGGGAGAATCCAGCCCATTCCTTGCTGCTGCTGGCTGCAGGGTTTGCTGAGATCCTGATCGGAGCTCTTGGATCTGGGGTATTTCTTTCTCATTACCATCCATCATCAACCCAAGAGACTTCTGAGTGCCTTTTGCACTCAGATAAAGGTTCAAGAAAAGCTTTGGTTCCAGGAAATTACACAACGCTGCTATCTTGATTAATGCTCAGTAACACACCAGAGCCCTGTGGGCTGCATTGGGTGACTTAGAGGCTTTCCTTCAGAGAAGGAGTTGGCAAGAAAAACTGAACTACTGCATGGAAAGTACAATCTCTTGACAGGAAAATAAATTTAGGGACCAAACACTCCGAGAAATACCTGATTCACCTGACAATGGTGTTAAAAAAGGATTTTGAGTTTGTATTTGGCTGCTTTGAAAACCATTAGGAGCTCTTGTGTGTTGATTCACCAATCTCAGGGAAGGGGGGGGCTGGCCCATGTTATCACTCCAGAGAGCACTTCCCTAAATCCTGATCTGTGTTGAGCGGGGTATCTGAGAGCAAGGAATGAAGTCTGTGTGTGAAGCAAAGCTGGTGCAATGGCCGGGAGTGCTTTCAGCAACAGCCATACAGTCTGTATGTCCAAGGTTTCAGCTTTTAGCAATCCAACTTGTAAACGTTTTTATCCTCTGCAGGCTTCTGGGATCTATTTCAATAACAAGTTTCCCCTTCTTGCAGCTGCATTTGCAGATTTAATTACTAAAGAGTTTAGGGCCAAATGTTTAGAGATACTATGTATATATACGTGTGTGTGTGTGCGTGTGTATTGCAGAGAGGTGCCGTCCTTAATATCTCCCAGGGCACTCAAAGCACCACAGCAAACCCACACAGTGTGGTACTGGCTGCATCCCAATGTACCAGTAGCACATCTCAGTGCTAAAGAGACATTTTTACAATCTATAAACACATATAAACAGTGACTATAAAATATTTTCCATAATCCGGCTATGGGAATACATGACATTTAAAGTAATTTCCTGTATCTAGATTTATTCTGTGGCATGTCTTTTTCTGTTCATAAATCCACTTCTCTCTAAGCACTATAGAACTCTGCATAGGAAAGACAGAATGAATTCACGTGAGATTTTAAATGTAGGCTAGAACGTGAATGTACCTGGAATGTGTGTGGGACTCTAGTCATCTCCCATGTCACCTCCTGATGGCACAGCTGTGAGGGCAGTTCTCACCCTCAGACATCCACAGCATCTTCCTCTTATCAATCTGATGCCTTCAGGTTTTTGCACAGTGTCTGCTGAAACATGGATCATGACCATACAGTCTCCTGCAAAATGAGGTTTCAATATGATCTTCCACTAGACCAGATTGCTCTAATCCCTGTCCAACCTGGCCTTGAACACTTCCAGGGACGGGGCAGCCACAGCTTCTCTGGGCAACCTGTGCCAGGGAAGAATTTCTTCTCAATATCCAATCTAACCCTGCCTCTGTCAGTGGGAAGTCATTCCCCCTTGTCCTGTCACTCCAGACCCTTGTCAAGTTCCTCTCCAGCTCTCCTATAGCCCCTTTAAACACCGGAATGCTTCTGGTATATTCGTGGCATAATCTAGACTCACAGTTCTTGGTTTTCATATGGTCTTAATCACTGTCTGGGTAATCCTCGGACTCACCCCCAGGCAGTGAACAGTCCTGCCCCCTGCTCATCTCCCACCACGTCTAATGTGTGTTCTGACCTTTTCCATGTGTGTGTTCCTGGGCCAGGTGAGCCACTGAGTGCCAAGATATGAGCAATATTTACTACCTGGCATGCAGTGGGTGTTGCAATTCCTGGTCATAATTGTGTTTGAGAGTCATAATAGTGGAGAAAGTTATTACCTGGGCTCCCTTCCCGCCTCTTGTGGGTTCCAATCAGACACTGGGTGTTTTTCAAATTGGTTTTTGAGTGTATAATTTTAGTACATACGTCAATAGAAAGCAGAACAAAAACAGAATTCACTATGATAAAATTAAAAGGACAGAGTCCCTCCCAGTGAGGAGACAGCCCCCCGCCACCTCCCACGCTGGAGGAGCATCACCTTTGTGTCACTTTGTGTCACTTTGTGTCACTGCCGGAGCCATCACCGCTGTGAATCACCTGCCCTGCAGCCAGCCCAGGGACCAGCAGGGACCCCCGGGCTCCCCCCCTTCCCTTTAAAGCCCAGGAGCAGCAGCGTGTGCCCAGCACTTGGTGCCACCCTTGCTGCCACATCTCTTGCAGCTCGGCTGTGGGAGAGGCTGCGGGATGGCCGAGGGAGAAATCACCACCTTCACTGCCCTGACCGAGAAGTTCAACCTGCCCCCGGGGAACTACAAGAAACCCAAACTCCTGTACTGCAGCAACGGGGGCCACTTCCTACGGATCCTCCCGGATGGCACAGTGGATGGGACCAGGGACCGAAGCGACGAGCACAGTAAGCAAACCCTATGGGTCTTCTTGGTGACCTCCTTGCTCCTATGATTTCATCAGCTAGGATGGGGGCAGCTGGGGAAGACGGGCACTGGACCAAGGTTTCTTTAATCCTGGTGGTAACACACCTTCCAGGAGTCACACATCTATAGCCCATAGGCAGAGCAGGGGAGGCAAAGTACATGTGATATAAAAGTACAGATATAAAGTACATAAATAGATATATGAAGTATTCAATCTGACACTGGTCATTACCTCATGAAAGGCAGGCAGACACAGGGGAGGCAGCAATGACACAGCAGGGCTGGGTCGCACAGGGAGCTGGCAGAAAGGGCTTAGGGCAGCCTGGCATCCCACACACAAAGCTATCACTTGGAATTCTGTGCTATCTCTGCATTTGCATCTGTTTGCCACAGCAATTTAACAGGTCACCCATGGCCAGGGTCTCATCTCACCTGTCCCCATCCCTGCAGTCGGTGATGTTGGTGGCCCCATGGGACTTTGGGGACCTGCTGCTGGGAGGAACTGCCCCCGCAGATGCCACCATTTGTCCTACCAAGGAGTCATTGGGAAGTTTTATGCTTTTTGAGCTCTTGCACTGCCAAAAACTCTTCAGCGGGTTTTTTTAACCCGATGCCCAGGAGAGCTGGACCAGCCACACAGCAAAGTTCCCGGGGGCTCTGTGGGGCAGCAGGACCAGGCTCTTCCCTTTGGCTGTCAGCAGAAACCTCTGGGTACACCATATCCTGAACATTTACTGGAATATGACTGGGATCTGCCAGGCTCCTATCCGATTAGAAGGAAGGGCTGGGAGGAGCCAAGTCAGCTTTTATTTACTTTAAACTGCAAGCACACGTGGCTTTTCCCCAAACTTAACCTTTCCTCTCACTATTGTTGTTTTAATGACAGGCAGTTTATAGTCTAATTACAAACACTGTCTCCCATCACTTGCCCAGCACAAGTGCTGGGGGATGGATGAGGATGAGTCTCCTGAGGCTGGATGAACACAGAGTGGGGCTCCAGCCTCCAGCTGGGTATGAACCCAGCACATAACCCTGCTCAAACTCCTGGGAGAGACAGCCAGGACAATGACCCAAAGGATCTTCAGGAGACAGGACCAGGCTCACAAGACCCACAAGGAGAGGTCATATGAGCTTAGCCAGTGTCTCTGCAGCATTTTCCAGAGGTTTTGCTGGAGTCTGAAGGGGAGGTCACAGTCAAGATGGCATCTCCTGGAACATGCGGAGCTACCAAGGCCTTGAGCATCCAGCTTCTGCACCCCAGCATGGCATGGATGCTGCCACACAGCCCAGACTCTTTCCCTCCGGAAAAACAAATCCATCACCTGGGAGTGAGCTGTTCCCCACAGCCACATCGCACACACGGGCAGCGAGTGCAGGCAGGTCCTGCACCCCAGCATGCTCACACCTCCCCGGCTACTGGCCTGGGGCCACGTGTTTGAAAACCTCTGCCAGAAAGGAACCTCCTGTAAATGATCTCATAAACTTGGATATAGGAATGTACTAATATTTACAGAGGAAACTCCTGGAAGGGCTGCATGCCAGCAGAGCAGCCCTGCCACGAGGTGCCCTGCTCTGAGCACCAGCAGCTGCCCACGGTCCTGTCCCTGTGCCTGGGAAATGCCGGAGCTGCTCAGCACCATCCCCTGGCGTGCAAGAGGAGCAGCCCAGACCGTGACCAGCACCATGGGATACTGCTCACCCAGCTGGGACAAGCACCTGCCAGCCCCAGGGAGGGACAAGACATGGGAACACCCACAGCTCATTGGGAAGCCAATGGACACAGAGGCATTATAGTCTGCATTGATGCTCTGCAAACTGCCCAAGCTCATTTTGCTCCTGACAAATATCAAAAATTCTTATTTTTACCTTGAATGGCCTTGCCAGGTGCTAGCCCTGGAATCAGGGAGGATCTCTAAGGAGTGCAGGAGTCCCTCCAAGCCCTTGTCATTCAGGCCGATGTCAGGATTCCCTCCCCGCATCCTTTGTTGTTGTGTGTGGGTATCCCAAGCTTGCACTGTGAAATGGGAAGAAAACTTACCAGGACATTGCAGACCACTTGGGATGAAGCTTGTTTCCACAAACAGCCTTATTTTTCCTGTTTCATCCCATTACTTCATGGAAGGAAATCAGGCCTGTAAAAGGACACAAGAAGCACAAGCTCCTTCCTCCGAACCCACCATTCTCCCTTCCTCTATGGCTGAAGACCTCAATGTCCCTATCGGCAGCCGGAGGATTCTCATTCGCCTCTCTCAGAGACAGCTTTTAGGACAGTATCATCATTTTCATCCCATTCCCCCCTTTCCCCCTGGATTGCTCTTGGGGCTGCAGCACCACAGCAAATGTAGGTGGGCTGGGGCTTTCCCACTGCAGATTCCCAGCCTAAACCAGGCATGCACTTGGGACCGTGTATTCCTGCAAATCTGCACCCACACCATTTCCTAATTAGCCATCATTTACTAAGCAAGAAATGCAAAAAAAGAAGGAATTATAGCAAAGATTTCACTGGGAAGAGTGTTCTGCCAGGCCAAGAGGTAACATTGCCTTTTAACTCATCTAAATAATGATAAATAAATTAAATATAAACAGGAAGGAAGGAACTGGAGCCGAGGCATCCGTTCATACTTCATTCAAACCAATCTAAATATTGCTGTCATAAATCTCATGAAAAAAAACTGTCTAGGAGATGGGAATGATCGCTTGGAAGAGCTGGAATTTGCAAGTCACACTGACTACAGCCACAGAGCCACAGCCTCCACACACACTGGTGGGGCTTTTAATGGCTCTGGCTGCAGCATTCCTGCCCACCCATGAGAGCCCCGTGGGCTCCTCCCTGAACACACAGCACTGGGGAACTGTCCTCCCAAGGCTTCTCTCCAACTAAACAGCCTTTTCCTGATAAATACATTAAACAAATACTTGACCCAAGTTTTAATCACTTTCCAAGACTCCTGTAATCAGCAAAGTAAGGAAAAAAGAAACCAGACAAATGGAAAGTTTAAAGCTGCTGGGTGAGGTACAGGATGCTGAGTAGAGCAGGATGCTGCAGCTCCCGGCTCACTTCCCTCAGCACAGGACCAGAAAAGAGCTTTTTTTGCCCTGGAGTTTCTAGCTGCAGTCCAGCATCGGGAATGGGGATGGAATCTGGTGTCCAGCGGCTGCAGGGCCTGAGGCAGCTCCCATCGCTCCCACCCAGGCTGTGCCCTGGCAGACCCAGGTCCTGCTTCAGCATCAAATCCATGTTAGCATTGCACATTCAGAAAATCTAAGGTGTGACTACCTACAGGAGGTATTTTTTTAAGATGAAGATCAGCCTTTGCCATTTCTCCACTCTCCACCTACAATGCCCTGAATAAATCCAGCCACAGTGCACGGCTGGATGGGACACGCTGGATCAGGAGTTTGCAGTGCAGGCATCTGCACTCTGCCCATTGCTGGTTTAGCTCTCAAAATACTTCTTCATATGTCACTCCTTAAGTGTCTTGTCAAACCACATGAGAAATTTGTAAATTAGAGCCAGAATTAAAACCCCAATCTCCTGTGTCCCATTCCAGCATCGTAACCAAAAGGCTGCCCTTCCTTTGATGTAAAATAAGGGGAAAATTGGTCTTTGGTTCCTAAAGGATGGCTGTGGGGTTTCTTTGAAGGAGAGGGTACAAGGAGACACTTCTATTACACACTGTACTGTTTCCTATAAACACTTTATAAGCCAGGCTTTGGAACAAAACACCCTGCTAACCTTCCTAGCAGCTATTTTTTTCCCCTTTTCCTATTTTGCTTTTAATGTTGTTGTTATTGTTTCATTTTTACTTCCAGTCCAGCTCCAACTGAGTGCAGAAAGCGTGGGAGTGGTGTACATAAAGAGCACCCAGTCGGGGCAGTACCTGGCCATGGACACCAATGGGCTGCTCTACGGCTCGGTAAGTGGGAGGATCCCGTGGGACCAGACACAGAGAGGGCTTGAGGTTTGCAGAAATCTCATAGCTCTGAGTAATGCAAACCACAGGCAATAATTAGGCTCTGTTTGTGATTCTGGCAGCTGGACAGTCGCTCTGCATCTGGCTTTATTTTGGGGAGAAATAAATAAATAACCAAATATCGCCATTACTGCCCTGCCTCCAACAAATATTGGATTTCCTATCTGACACTTGATAAATACTGTGTTTCATACCTGGAGCAGCAGCTGCTCTGCAGCCCTTCAGCAGCTGACAGCTGGTCTAGTGGAAGGGGGATGGAATGAGATGATCTTTAAGGTCCCTTCCAACCCAAACTATTCTGTGGATTTGTGCTCTGAGCCTGTAGCTGCCACCCCACATCTTAGTGCCAGAGCAGGAGCCAGGGCCAGGACCAGCTGATGGATCATGGGGCCGGACTCCATCACTGCTGAATAAAATGCCCAGGCCGTGGACATGATGCTGCAGGAGTGGCCCAGGGGACAAAATCAAGGCTACTTACCTCCATGCTTTAATATGAGCTTTACTGGGGCATGGAGATCTCGGAGGTGGGTCTTTAGCTGGGATTACCACGTTAGGAACACACGCCCCCATCCCCATGGCATCACCCCGGCTCACTGTCGTTCCCCTGGGTTCTCTTTCAGCAGTTACTGGGTGAGGAGTGCCTGTTCCTGGAAAGGGTCGAAGAAAACCATTATAACACGTACATCTCCAAAAAGCATGCGGATAAGAACTGGTTTGTGGGTCTGAAGAAGAATGGGAACAGCAAGCTGGGGCCGCGGACTCACTATGGCCAGAAGGCGATTCTCTTCCTCCCACTGCCCGTCTCGGCTGACTAAGCCCCATCCCAGAAGCTCAGAGATGACCCCAAATACCAAAACCCAACTGCTGCCGCCTCCTTAGAGCTCGTTAGAGCTCCGAGCTTTAGGTCAAGGCTTTACCAAAACTAGCCAAAGCAGAGCTCCTCAGCTCTGCACAAAGCTTTGCAGAGATGAGGGGAAGAGTCCTGACACCCTCCCAAGGGCCACCAGCCCCCCTGGCTCCCCCTGCCCCCCACTGTCTGCTGTTGTGTGCCATGACCACACTGCAGCTCCTGGGGACAGGCACCCAGAAACCTGCCCAAAGGGCACCCCAAGGTCACCCCAGTTACCAGAGAAGTGCATGCTTTGTGTCCCCAGGCATTCTAAGGCAAAACCCTCCTGGATACTGTGTATTAATGTATTTATCTATCTAAGTATGCAGCTTCTAACGTGCCCTCAAACAATCTCATATTGGACCATCAGTCCTGTTATCCAAGGCCAGCCTGGTGAATGCTGGCCAATATCCTTGGTGTGTTAAGCTGAACAAGCAGGCAAAGCTCCAGTCCCAGACCTTGGCCTCCCTCACAACACCAGTAGTGCTGTATTTCATGTACCTACCATATATTATTAGTATTTATTTATCAAGTAAGTATGTCTCTTCTACAATCTGTTCATAGGTAATTCCAGGCACCAAAGCCCCTTGATGCTGTCCCAGTGAGGAAGGGGCAGTGGCAGTCAGTGACTGGTGTGAAGGTGTGATGCACAGCAGGAAGATGCTGCATGACAGTGGCAGCACATCGCACCCATTCCCAGGGGTATTCCCCCCACTGCTCTGGTGTCTGGCTACATGGGGCTCTAAAAATTCCACTGGAGCCCCTTGATGACTCCCAAACCCTGTGGAAAGCTGTTTCTCCTCACCTGGCATGATGCAGCTCAAGAGCAGCTCAAGAGCCACTCCTGCCATGTGAGAGCATCACAGGAGCACCAAGCTGCCACAGTGTACCCAGAGCATCCACAGCTTCTCTGGAAAACCTGTGCCAGGGCCTCACCACCCTCACAGGGAGGAATTTCTCCCTAATATCTAATCTAAATCTACTCTTCTTCAGTTTAAAGCCATTCTCCCTTGATTTATCCTGCCATCATGGACAGGGACAAGAAGTGCTCCCTGCTCCCGACAAACCCAGATCAACCATCTCTACACAAGAGAGGAATAAAGAGCACTCTGCCTTGCATATTTCTGCAACAGCAATTAGTCACTAATTACTGCACTTCTGCACTTGCTGGCTCTGAAACCTTCTCCCCAGCACTGATAGCATCACAGGTAATCCCAGTGCTCCTGGGCAAACAGGGAGCTGGCATAGGAATGGCAGAGCCGTGGCTGTGAAGGAGCCTGCACCAACTCCTTGCACCTTCTCATTGCCATGGCCCTTCAGTGCTGCTTCTCACCTGTGGGATCCATGTGGAAATCGAGTGGAAAGGTGAATTTTGCTAATCCTGCAGGTACCAGCTGCTCCTCTTGTCTTCTACACAGCAACATTCCTGTACAGCTGCCCAAAGGGAGGGCAGATGGGTGGTCTTGGAAGTATTTACTCTGTGCACACCGAATGCTTGAGGGACCACAAACATAAATTTTCAGTTTTTACTTAGAATTCCCAACAGCCAAAAAGGCACATTTTTAATATATATATTTCTACATACCAACTAAAACATTTCAATTAGAAGAAAACAATAATACTTACAAAAAATCTACTCTGCATTATTGCCTTCCCCCCTCAAAAAGATTAGGCACAGCAGTGGGATAACTTTGGAGTTTTTCAGTATCCCTGTGTCCCAGGTAAGCCTGAACAGGCAAACACCTGTGATTTGCAGTGTTGCCTTATTTTCACATCTAAGCCCATTAATATAACTCACACCAGAGCAGATACAGCTCCCTGCAACCTTTCAGCTGGCAAGCACTACCCCATGGAGGTGTCTTCATCATCCTCATGGGTTCCCTCATCCTACATCTGCAGGGACATGGATCCCTCAACAGGCTGGACCCCTCCACCTCTGGCATCAGTGCTGCTCTGAACTTCTAATCGCTTCACTGCAGTGGATAAGAGTTGAGAAGTACCTGACAGTGCCCGGTAAGGACAGAATATCTGCCAAAATCCTGGATTTCAGCCAACAAGCTGCAGGGGGAGAAAGGCCAAGAGAGGGACCCAAACACTACTGATGGCCCTGGCTCAGCTGCTATCACAGGTCCAGCACGATATTCCTACGGCAAACAAAAAGCTGGGCAAGACAGAGCGATGTGGAAGACTGACAACATCAACACTCTTCTTAAACACCGTGGTTGCTTTCCCTGTGAAAGTCCAGGCTGTCACTCAAGTCAAGAAGTGAATGAATGCATGAGCGGGAGATGCAGGTTTCTAATTAAACTGGAAAGTTGGAACGTGTAATGCCGGATTTAGCTGTGCTGTCTTGCAACACCTCATTAACCCAGGGCTCTCCTCTCGTTAGGCTTCTGCCGCTCAGAAACCGCCCCCGCAGGTACACGCTTGACGCCCAGCCGGGGAAAAATGTCAACACTTGGGCTGAAAAATAATCCCCAGGGAAGCCACAGTAATTGCTTCAGACAGATGGACAAGCCAGGATGGCATTGCCCAGGGAAACCATGCTCACCTCAGGGAGTTTGTCCTCAGGGTGAGAGGTGAGGGGGAATAGGGGGGAAGGAAAATGATAAGATTTAAGAAAATCATTACAAGTGAAGATCTTTCCCAATAAGTGCAGGGAGCCCAAGTGTGCTGTGAGAGGTTTTCTGGAGTGTGAAGGAAAGGGAAGGGAAGAAAGGAAAGGGAAGGAAAGAAAGAAGGCAGGGAGGTAGGGAATGAGGGAGAAGAAAATGCCAGAGAAAGGTAAAATCTGGGTCGGGCCATGCTGCACAGCTGGGTTGGGCTGTGGAGTGTGCTGGAGGGAGGGAACACACACCTCTGCTCCACGGGACAGTCTATTATGAGCTCCCTGTACATACAGGGCAGATGTCCTGCCCAGCACTCCCCATCTTTGTGTCCAGTTCAGGAGCCCTCACTCCAAGAAGGACATGGAGGGGTTGGATTATGTCCAGGGCAGGCAACAGAGCTGGAGAAGAGTCCGGAGCACAAGTTTTGTGAGGAGCAGCTGAGGGAGCTGGGGGGGGCTCAGCCTGGAAAAAGGAGGCTCAGGGGGACCTTCTCACTCCCTACAACTCTGACAGGATGGTGGAGCCAGGTGGGGGTCAGGCTCTGCTCCCAGGGAACAATGGATAAGACAAGAGGAAACAGCCTCAAGTTGTGCCAGGTGAGGTTTAGATTGGAGATTAGGGAAAATTTCCTTCCTGAAAAGACTGTCTAGCCCTGGCACAGGCTGCCCAGGGCAGTGGTGAAGTCCCCATCCCTCGGGGGATTTAAAAGCCGTGTGGATGTGGCACCTGGGGACATGTTTTAGTGGTGGCCTTGGCAGTTCTGGGGCAACGGTTGCACTCGATGATCTTAGAGGGCTTTTCCCAACTAAATTATTCCACGACTCTATGATTTTCAGCCAAGGGAGCCCGCGCAGGGAGCACCAGGGCTGCTGCTATTTCGCCTTCGGTTTCAGATCGGGAGCCGGCGGGAGCGGGCAGGGACAAGCTACGAGGGCGGGAGGCCCCGAACAATAAAGAAAATAAACAAACTCTGCCCCCCAGGCTGCTGGGGGGCGGCACACGGGAATTCCGCTTTCGCTCTGGAAGCTCCGCCGCGCCCGAGCCGCGGGATGCCCGGGAGGTGGCGGTGCGGAGGCGCCGGGAGCGCCGGGAGCGGGGGGAAGACCGGGCATCCCCCCCCGCGCTGCCGGTGCCAGCGGGCGGACATCGAAGCGCCAACATCTGGCTCAGCATCTGGCGGACAAATGGAGCGAGAGGAGCTGAAGGGGGCCCGTGAAGCGGTGGGGTCCCCCCACTTGCCCAGGGGTGCTGCACCCACTCCAGGGAGCCCCTGCTGCCCCCCGCGTGGGGCTGGGGCTGTCCAGGGACCCCCGTGGGGAGCAGGAAGGGTAGAATGGGGTTACACTCCTGGCAAAACCGCTCATCCCTTAACGTGGCTTCTCCTTCCCCATCCTCTCACCCCACTGCTGCTTTGCCCATGAGACAGCGCTCGGCCCCAGCCTGCTGAGCCAAACCAACCCGAGCAAGGGAGCCTGGAATAGTCTGTTATTAAACTCGGGGAACTGATGGGAATCCAAGCAAAAGGAAAGCTTGGGTTTCTGCTGCTTTCCTGTGGTTCACATTTTGGAAAGGCTGCTGGAGGACACACACGTCTCAGGACAGGAGCTGTGGGATGCAGTGTTGGGCACCACGATGCCGTGAAGCATCATCCCCTCAGAGGCTCTGGCAAAGACTGAGAGAGCCCCTGCAGTCACAGCCCCAGCGTGCCACCTCATGATGCCCATCCTTGCAGCTCTCCCTTGGCAAGGGAGGTGCAGCAGCACTGCCCATGCCCCCACCTCCACACACCCATCTCCAGCACCTCCCGCTGCACCCCAGACCTCCCTCCCCACTGTCCCAAGCCTTTCTTGAGCACAGGTTATGCCAAACCACTTCAGGATGTGCTGACTGAAACAAGCTCTTGGGGCAGCACAGCTATTCCCATTTGTGCTGTGACTCCATTTTTAGAGCCAATATCTGAGGATTTCCTGAGCTGTGGAGGGAGCTGGGGTAAATCTCCGGCCAGGCTGGTGGGACAGTGTAAATCCATTCAATAAAGAGGAGCGATTTCCATGGGGAAGGTCCCATTGGGAAGAATGGGGGGATTTGCCAGAGCAAGGTCTGCCAAACCTCCACCTCACAGCATTGCCACAGTTCGCGCAGGTTTGGCTCTTCCTCAGCACGTGCAGCAATTTGTTCTGGCTAGTGAGGGTGGCTTGTGGCAAGTGCTAATCCCAACTCCGGGGTTGAGCCCCTCAGGAGGGGTAAGAGGCCCCAGCTCCCAGCCCTCACTCCTCTGGAGACACTGAGTATCCAAAAGCAGCAGCTTTGTGTAATCCCCACACAAAGAGGTGGTCACCGCTAATGGGTTTACCTGCTTAATTCTCCCCAGCCCTTCCTGGCTCTCAGGGTTTTCCCTTCCCCACTGACTCGGTGCTACAGGAAGCTCTGCTTCCCACATTAAGCAGATTGTCTGCAGCAGGACATGCAAATGCATTTATCCCGCTGAATTCCCGAGCTGTTACACCACGGCGTTTCCGGGATATGAATCCTCTGTCACTCACATCCTTCCCTGCCCTATTTCCGGACCTGGGCCACGACACATTTATCACCCAAGGCACAGAGCATCTTCAATCCCCCCTGGTTCCCAAAGTGGTTCCCCTGGGATCATCTGCTGTCACCACCAAATGCCCAGAGGAACCCTGGTGCTCATGGTGACCACCAAAACACCTCCCACCCCATTGCCAGGGCTCACCCCTGCCCAGTACAGCCCCACATCAGGGGGTCCTGGTGGTGGGTACACTTAGGACAAGCTCAAACCACTCCCCACCATTCCAAATTTACTGTTTCGCTGCAGAAATTATCCCAACATGGGTTTCCTCCTTTTGCAGGAGAGGAGTTGGGAAGGAGGGTGGGTGGGCACCCGCACCCACGTGTGCCAAAAGAGCCGACTGCTGCAACAGGCCTCAATTAAAAGGGGATTCTAGGCTCAGATCAGCAAACGCTGGCCTAATTCAGGAAGGAAAGGCTCTGTCACAGCACTGCTGGGCAGGACGCTGGGCAGGAAAACCATTTCCAGGCACAGCCATGAAAAGTTACAGCTTGATAACTCAGACTGCAAGGTCTGTGCTCTTTAGAGAACAAGGCCTTGAGCTCAGATCCAAACACTGCTCTCCAAGGACAGGTCAAGCTTTCCAAAGCAAATCCAAGTGCAACTCAAAGCCATCTGAATCCAATCGCTGTTCACTCGGGCAGATCCCCCTTGTCACCGAGCATGGAAATTCAATATGTGGGAAGAACTTGAAACAAGAAAATGAAATTCTGTTTATTTTCCTAGCAGGAGTCTGGCCTAAACCCTTCACTTTTCAAGAGTCAGTAACTGTTGCTTCCTTTTTTACCCTCCTTTAATTACATTTCTAAACTAAATGAGAACCAAGATGAAGGCTTGGGGCACTACCACAGCATCTTTGGCGAGATGCACCCTGGCCAAAGGTGCAATTCCAGAACAAGACACTGCATAATGAATTATAATTAAAATACTGTTTTACCAATTTTTCTCAGAGTCTGGACAGGTTTTCTCCAACACAAAAAAATCCTATGTTTTTTCTAGGCAAACAACCTGTCTGAGAAAGAGCTTGTGAAGGGCATCTATAAGGAAGGCAGATCCTGCCCTTACCGTGTCTGCCCACATCAACAGTCTGGGAAAATGCACCCAGGCAACTTGAGTTTTCCCCATCCAGGTTCCTCCATATGCCATGTGGAGGCAGGTAAAGACGGAGGGAAGGAGAGAGGGAGGGACATGTCACCTGGATGAGCTGGGCAGAGCCAAATCCTGGTGGCACCCAGCACGAAGCCCCTAGCTTGGGTTTGGATCACCTCTGCTCCCAGTCTCCTTTCTAGATGGTTCTGAAATTTTAGTCTGTAAAAAAAAGGATGGTGTCAAAGTATCAGGAAGGGAAAAACAACACAACTGCCTCACAGTTGTCATTGCAGATGCCTTTGTGGCTGAAGGAAAAGGCACATGGGCATTAGCTCCATTCAGCATTAGCTCCAACCATCACCATGAGGAAACCCCTCACCCCACTCACAACTGCACTGCTGTGCTGGGTGACTCCAGCTCCTTCACCACTTCAGGATTTAACTTTCCTTGTGCACCATGTAGTTTATATTGTGTTAAGCCCATCTAGACAGCAAACCATTTCCTCCTGCTTAACAGCCCTCCTGTTCCTCCCCGTCATCCGCTGCACGCCGCTAAGCCCAAACGATTAACGCTGTCTCCACCACAGAGCAAAGAGAGGTCCCACAGCTCTTAAACGCCCTGTGCTCCCCCAGCCTGCTCTGGACTGGGGTTCTGCAACAGACCTTCTTCCCTCATAACACTTGTGACACAGTAATTTATTCTGTGCCCATGGGATGGGTCCCAGTGTGCACGGCACAGCTTCATGGACCATCCTGCTCCCCCAGCCAGGAGCTGCTCCATCCCGTTATTCCAAACCCTTTGAAGACATCTCTTGTTCCTTCCACACCTCACTTTCTTTTTAGTAAAATCCTTTTTCTGGTTGCACTCAATGCTCACTTAACTCCTGTCCACCTCCAAGGTCCTACTGAACAGTGTTGCTGTAGCTCCTGCTCCCCTTGGCTCCAGCCCCACTGCTGCCCCCCCCCGTCTCCTATCTCCCATCTCACCTCCCCATGTAACCAACCAGAAATTACACCCCACAGAAGAGTTAAACCAGCCTGGAGAGTTGCTGCTGCCCCACTTTGCTGCCTGAACACCATCCAAAAGCAATTAGGCAGCACAATAACCCCGGTCAGGAGCAGTGAGGTTCTGCAGGGACAGATGACGCGACAGCAGCAGCACCAGCCACCCCATTCTCTCCAGGATTTTTCCTGCAAAGCCATTTCCATTCACAAACATGAATTCAATTTTCTTTCCTCAAGCTTCCAGTGCTGAACCCCCAGCCCAGGCTCCCCCCACCTCACAGTTTGTGCTGCCTGGCCCCATCCCCACACAGTTGTTGTCCCCCCACGGCACAGGAACCCCAAGCAGCCCTGGAAAGCCAACACAAACTGCCACTGGGACGCCACCCATCATGCTGACAAATCTGCAAATAAGTAAGTGCTGAAAAGAGGAAGAAAAGAATAAATAAAAGGACATGGAGGAAGGAATCTGCTTGGGGAACAACTCCATCTGGGCTTGGCATGGGGTCACACTCACTGCATCACTGCTAAAGGGATGATGGGTCCTGGCCAGCCACAGAGCTGCTGGCTCTGACCCCGCAGGGATTCAGCCAGTTCAAACTCTGAGGGTGCAGGAATTCTCTGCTGAAACGGGGGCCACACAGCCAGGGATTCCTGAAAAAATAAAGTAGGTGTGTGTTTCCCTTGCTTCCCTGCCCCAGACAGGCTGGGCAGTGTCCTCGGCATCATGAGCCGGGCGGCTGCGACCAGCATCACCTCAGGTCTCTGTCCCATGAATTCATCACTTCCTGGCAGTGTTTTATTTATCTCATGTGTTTATTTTCTATACGGTTCGTCCTGAAATATGGCAGTTTGGACTTTCTAGGCTTTCCTGTCCCACTGGGATAAACCCAACATGTGGGATGACACGGGAGATGGAATCAGCCAGTGCTGCTATTATTGTGCTCTGTCTTCTGCCAGCTCCACAGAGGCTTTGTGGGCTTTGGAGGTTTTTTTTGTTTCTCAGCTTTTTTTTTTCCCTTTTTTTTTAACTGAACTGGTGCTTTTAACACTTGATAGCTTTAATCTTTGAGAAAGTTAGAAATAGGAAAAAAACCTGCTGAGATCTACTTTTCCAGGTTTTCACGAAAATAAGAGAATCTCTTTGGTGGGTGTTCTCTATGGGTGACTGCTGGGATGTGCCAATGTAGCAGCGACTGCAGGCCCTGTGCTTCCCCACCTCACCATCTCACCAGGACCTTAATTCTGTGCGTTTTGGGACAGAGCATCTCTGTGATGACAGCAGGATGTTCAGCCCCGGCTGAAGCACGGCTGAAGCAGTGCCATGACCATCCCCCAACCCAGTGATCAAAAATAAGAATTAAAAGAAAAAAAAAAAACCTCTTTGAAATCAGTTTTAAGTAAACAAAAAATTGATCTCACAAGCTCGGTAACCACAAGCATAAATTTGGGTTTGGCTGGGCTTTGTGTTTTGCTTGGGTTCTTCTGCATCACATATGAAGTCTATTTTAGGATGATTTGCTCAAGCAGTTCAGCACATCACCAGGGCCAACACGCACTCAGCAGTCACTCAGGAGCCACTGCTGTCCCCATGGCCACCAGCTGCCCCAGAGCAGCGAGAGGCAGAGCTGGTCTGGAGGGCAAACAAAATCCCTTTATTCCTTGGGCTTCTACTACCATAGGCAAGCTCTGGCATGAGTTCTCCCACTCATCTGGCCACTTCTCCTGCCACTGGACATGTTCTTGTCTACACTGAGCCTGCTGTCTGTTTTTATCCACAGCCAAACAACCTGGAAGGAGTCCCTGAATGCCTGTCCTTGCCCCAGGACAGGCAGCCGTGGCAGCTGTCACCTCCCCAGGTGAGGGACAGAGGCGCAGCTCACCCAGGCATCTCCACATTTCCATAGCTCCGGCCACGCAAGCTCAGCTGAAGCAGGAGGGAAAACAGAGCGTGCCAGAGCCCCGTCTGAGGAGTGTCAGGAGAATTACAAAGCTGCACAGAACATCTCACCACTGCACTTTCCGGAGAGATAAGGACCCGGGGGTGGCGTTCCTTGGCCGAAGACTGAGAGTTCCTGTGCTCCCAGCCAGAGGGAAAGCAGGGAACCGCTGACAGCCTGAACACTCCTCTGCTTCCCAGCCCTGCCATCAGCTCCAACAGCAGCTACTGTCTGCCCCGAGTTACCTCGGCGCTCACAGAACATACTCCTATGGTCAAAAGTAACTCCTTCCCTACCTCCTGGCGAAGTTGAGACTGCTGGAACAAGGAGGCAGAGTCATTCACTCATCCTCGCAGGAGAGAGATCAGTCCTGGCTGGGAGTAGGACCCTCAGGGCAAGGGGAGCAGCACCAGTGCTCTGAGCTTTGCAGGGCTGGGGGCAGTGCTGCATGGAGCCTGCTGGAGAAGCACGAGTCAGGCACAGAACTGTGCAAGCTCCTGTGAAATACAAGTATTAATTGCTAGGGCTGACACCTCACTGATGAGGCTGAAGGCCACACACAGCTGGGGTCTACCTACCCTGAAGGAAATTACCTAACCAAATTCATGCCCATAAAACACTGACGGCTCATCCCCACATACTCAGCGTTCAAAGAATGACTGTTGTCATCTTTCGAAACTCCCTGATTAAAAAATGTATCTAACTGGCATGACTGTAGGTTGCCTTCATTTATTCATTCACCACGAGTGAATTATTCAGTTTTCCAGAATCCCAATGCAGAAACCCTCCCCACTGAGATGGACAGGATGTGCTTTTAGTGGTTTAGCAGCTGTGCATGCTGTGTGTCCTTCGTGACAGCCACGAGTCCCACTGCAGCACTGTCAGACTGCACTAAATACATCTGCACTTTTGTAGTAACTTCAGTATAAATATATATTTATATCGAGTCCAAGAGTTGGACTCAATGATCCTTGTGGGTCCCTTCCAACTCAGGATATACCATGATTCCCTGATATAAATATATTTGTCATACATTCAGGAAGGCTGACTTTTCAAAGTCTTGCAGGTCTTGGAACAAGGAACAATTATAATCAGGAAGTGAGCAGTGAGACATCTCCCATCTTTTTATGGAATAAAAGTTCCATTTCTATCACTATAGGGATAGATCTGACATTAAACTCAAGCTACCTGGATATAGGAAAAAAAAGAAGTCAGGATCCTACAAAGTAAATTCCATACTATTGCTATCAGATTTTAACATTTCAAGACAGATAGAAAAAGCATTTCTCCCCTATAACATGAAATTATCTGGAATTTCTGTGGAAAACTGCAGAAAACAGCCTGACCTGCTGAAGCACACGGAGAAGAGCACATGGAGACACCAGGACCATGGCAGCACCTCACTCACCAAAGGATAGCTCCAGCACAAGTGTGAGCACCACCTTGCACAGAACCTGGGTCTCTTTCTCACACAGCAGCAACTCCAACCTCTGTCTGTTCTTTGCACATCCCTGGATGGAAAGAATAATTCAAATTAGCCATTAGCTGAGATTATTGGGAATTAGTCAGGTTCTGTTTCTTGCTGTTGGAGCATAAAACCTGCCATAGTTGTCTGAGGAAGACTGAAAGTGGCTTAGGAGGTTTCTTAAGATAAATTTATATCTAGATGTTTAACTTTTTAATTAATTTTTTTGCTTTTGTCAATTTTATTCAAATCTGATAGTTCTTAGTCTCTAAACCAGCAGCATCTGCACTGGTGTGGAAGAGCAGCATCTCCAAGAGCAGATGCAGGGGGACACAAGGGACAAACCTCTCGTTCCCTCTCTGTTTCCAGACCATAGCAAGCCCACACAGCAGACTGAAATTATTTACTCCACAGCACAGGAGCCTTAACCACCTGCGGCAAGCGGAAAATGACAATGACAGGGAGAAAAGGCAAATTTTATTGTGTCTGGAGAACTGCAGCTCCGTGAAGCTGGAGTATTTAAATAGACAAGAATCTTTTGTTCAGGAAACTGAGCACTAATAATAACATTTCCTCCCGCAAAGCAGGCTTCTTCCCAGCTGCTTTCCACGGTCTCTGCCTCCTCCTGTTCTCCTGGCACTGTCCCAGACCTTATCACCCCCCTTTCCCCTCTCAGGCTATGGAACACCCCATGGTTTTCCAGGCTGCCTTCACTCCAGCTTTCCCTCCTCTACCAAACATCCAGATTTTCTATTTGATTCCCTGCTCTGTTTTTTTCCTCCAAGCTGTCTCAGCAAACACACACCAAAAAGAGAAAGCCTCTCTTCTATGGCTCTGGTGCCCTGTGACACGGCTCCCCCTGGCCCCACAACCTTACTGGAAGAGTCTGGTCCTGCTCATACAGACATTGCACTTGGAGGGCACAGGACACCAGAGCAGGCTCATTCCAGAGTCACCACCAGCATCTTTTGCTAAATGCCCATAGCTTCACAAAGCTCAGGAAGAGTTTTAAGAGGGATGAAGGAAGACATAGATTGATGTCCCATCACCCCATCAACTTTCCAAACCCTGACCAGAGCATGGAGGTGTTCCAGCTATGGAAATTATTTCATTATTAATTATTTAATTACTTATTCATTTTCTATGGACAAGCTTCCCAAGTCAGCCCTAAAATAAAAAACTGCCCCAGGACACCAGTCCTGTACATGGGTGTTGAGATCCACTGCTGTGGGAGCAGAAAGGCTCTTGGTGTAGCCAGATACTCCATCAAGGGAGGATGGGGAATTTCCTGGAGCAAAGACCAAGCCTTAATTTGTTCCTGCCAGCACAGAACAATGCACTGAAGGAGAGAGCAGTCATTGTCCGGGAGAGCAAAGCTGTGGTTCCCGTCTTCCCCACCAGAATAACATCCCTGTCCCCACAGCTGGCAGGTTACGCATCAGCAGCGGTCCCAGGAGCTGAGGGCTGGGAAAGGACATCCCATGGGAAAGGACAAGCCAGTGCTGGCCTTGCAGCCCTTGCTGGGGCAAAATAAACTGAAGAAAGAGACTGAGCAGTCAGAAACCAGGTCTTTCGGAAATCAAGTCCTACCTGGAGGAAATGTAGGGCTGAAGGAGCTGCATCTGGGGTGGAAATGAAAGGGGTTAGAGCAGGGGGTTGTGGCTGCTTGGAGATCACAGCTCAAATCCTTCAATATCCTGCTGCTGTCGGGGGACCAGAGGGTCTCAGCAGAACCCCAGCTTTCTGAGGTGACAAATTTGAATACCAAAGTGCTGAGTATTCAAAGAGGAATAGAAAAACGAGCAAAAATAAGTGAGTTTAAGGAAAAGGTATCTTGTTTCAATCTTAAAGAAGCTGAAGAGGCAGGACAATTCTTATCCATACCCCAACATATTTACTGTAATTAATTTAAGAAAGAAAATTCACAGATGGAAAAAATATTGTTCAGTCAAGACTAAAGTGTCCTGACAGTGTTGGTGCAAAACGTTCACTGGTTCTACTAAAATAAATTGGATTTAATGTTGGTTTGATCTCCTGAGTTCAGCAGGGCCACAATCCTGATCTGCACCTTCAAACCAGCTTTGGAGCAGAGGATGGGTGTGGAGTCAGGAAAGCTGCAAGATATTAATGAATATATAAAAATTAGGGCACAGATTTCCATACACAAAACCCTAAAGAAATAATTAAAACGCCAGTTTTAATTAAAGAGTAGCTTATTATAAATAAGAATATTAAAAAAATCCCAGGAAGTAATATGTAATTATTCATCTACAGAGCTGATGACTCAGATTATTCTATTGATTTGAAATACAGTGTCCAAATGCGTTTTACATATACAATAAACTTGTTAGTTTAATAAATATGTGGAGGGAACATGGAAATGTGCGTCTGCTTTTAGAAACAAGTGACTAAATCCCCGATCCATTCATCTGCATGAGAAAAGTGAAGCAAAGGCTTCACTCCTTTTATTTTATTCTTAAGCAAGTAATGATTTAGAAAATGTACATTATCATCAACACTATAATCACCGTCCCGAGCCTATAATCCCACGAAGGAAGCCTGCACTGCACATAAACTAAGTCTACTGGGGGTTGTTGAAGCTTAAGTTCCTTAAGAATTATTTTTAAGTTCCTCTCCATCAAGGATATTATAAGTAATGAGAGCAGCTGCAATTGTGGCTTTTTAGAAAGTGTTCTCCCAGCTTGTTCTAAAAAGGCTGTTTTAAAGGTCGTGCTGCTGAGCCTGTGGTGCAGTGCCTGGGCTGGCTGGTATAAAGTAACTGCATTTTAGTTGGCATCTGGCTGAGCCTATATTTTCATTTGTAAAAATTGAAAAATTCTTGGAAGAACTCCACAGCCTACCAAAAAAAATGTTCTTCTTGAAAACTAGTTACAAGTTAATGATAATTCCACTTTGGGCAGGAAGGAAGGGTTTAGGCTGGACGTCCCTGGGTGAGTCGGGAGGATGTTAAACCACAGCCCTGCTCTGCTGCTCGGGTCCCATTCACAGCCCAGGCTCCTGCTCAACGGGACAAAACACCCCATTGCCAGGAGATTCATTAAACATCTTCCACAGAACCAAATTAATTCTATGAGCACTAAGTAATTCTGAATATGTGAAAGCTTTCTGAATGGAGTTCAAATCCAGCTTTTCCTTTGATACGTCCCTAGAAGGAACCTCAAATATTAAATCCTGAGAAATGTAGCTGAGACCACGTAAAAGCTGAGACATCCTTGATACATACAATGGGATCCCTTATGCTGGAGATACAGTGAAACATTCATAGACGTCACAGTAAAACTCAAATTCTGATTTATCCCCACATTTAGCTACAGTCAGGGTACAATTCTGGTTAGAGTGTCCATTTGCCTAAAATATATATTTTTAACTACCTTAAGGGGCCTTGGAGCTGTCCTGTGTTGGGAAAAGAACAGGTCATTATTTGGAAGGACCTGCTGTAACTTCTACACAAGAAGCAGGCTGGGGCACTGGAAATAACCAAAATGGAGCTGTACAAGCGCTGAGGCAGATACACAACCTCTCCTCTGCACTGAAGGAAAAACCTGCTGTGCTATTCATTTCTTTTCAATAAATGTCCATATTTAAGATGGCTAATGTGAATTGGCATAGGTATAGAATCCTAGAATTCAGCTTTGCATCTTTCTTCACTGGCATAAATCATAGAATCATATAGAACCATGGAATAATTAAGTCTGGAAAAGACCTGGACAATCAAGCCCAACCATCAACCCAGTACCACCACCATGCACACGATGTCCTCAAGTACCACTACCCCATGTTTTTTGAGTACTTCTAGGGATGGTGACCACCACGTCTCTGGACAGCCTGTTCCAATGCTTGACAAACCCTTGCATGAAGAAATTTTTCCTAATGTCCAATCTAAACCTTATGGTGCAACTTGAGGCCATTTCATCTCATCCTGAGGGATGCATGGGAAGGGACAGGATTTTTGTAGCTCCATAGCTTTACCAGGATTCATGTACCTTATAGAAACAGAGAAAGAGCTCATGAGAGAGAAAGTCTCAGCCAAGCAAATCTGGAGAACAGCACAGTGCAGCACCTCACCCAGTTCCTGCCCTGCACATCCCAGAGCTGGGTTCTGGTTCCAGTCACCCTCACAAACTGGGGTACCTGAGGGATCACCACTGTGGAAGAGGGAAATGAAAATGAGATAGACGTGTCCTGCTAATTCCTTTGCCAACAGCCCACATAAGCTGGGATGTGGTGCACATAAAAAAAGCAACTGTCCCTCGTCCCCTGCAGAGCTCCGGAGCTGCACGATGTCCCATACTCATAAATGTTTCATTGCACTTCTGGAAAACAGACGTTGCTTTTGAGCAGTCTATGAAACAATATTGTAAACAGCTCAACCATTCTCCCCTCTGGTCTTGGCAGAGCCAAGAACAATGTGCATTCAGGGATGAAAACCCTCTGCCTTGGGCATCCCAACCCAGGGATGCTCAGTGATTCCCACCACGCCAGGGAGAGGTGATGGGGCTGGATGGAGGGTCAGAGGATAAGATGGGCAAGGCAAGGGAGAGGGCTTAACGTGAGCGAAACCACAGTTGATAGGGATTGCAGGATTTAAGCTGGAGCCAGTGAACACACTGGGCTGGATGCACCCGCCTGAAAAACAAAACAAAAAATCCAATAAAATGGGCAGATGGTCCTGGAGACATGGGGGGAAGGGGGACTGGAAACAAGGAAACCAGATATTAAAAAATGTAAATGAGAGGGAAATTATAAAAAGCATAAAGCTCCTGTCCCTGAGGGAACAGCTGTGTATGCTAATCCCTCCTGGGCTGCTCCTTTTGGATCTCCCTTCCTTCCTTCCTCCGTCCCTCTCTAATAGCTCCCTTGTTCCTGCTGGACAAAACCGGCCCTTTGTGGCTGCTCTCAGAACAACATTAAAAACAGGAATAGGGAAATTGTAAACAGGAGGCTTTTGGCCTACAGGCCAAGGCACACACCGGCCTCTGAGGTCTACTTCATGCTAAGCAAAGAAACAGATCTTTGTTGCTAAAGGGATTAGGGCTGCGGGATTTCGGAGGCTCGGCGGAGGCATTCAGCTGGCCTGAAGTGGGGGCTTTGTAAAGAGATACCTCCATTATGGCCCCGCCAGCGGAAATGGCTCGCGCTCTTTATGCAATCGGGGTAATGCGATATTGTTGGGCGGCTGAAGGGCTCTGGTGAAGCCTGGCCCTATCTGCTCAATGGCAAATTCTTTCCCTGCTAAATAGATGGTGGGTAATTACCTTTACTGGGGGGGGGGGGAACCGTCCATCTTTAACCCTTAGGTGTTTTAATAAGAGCCATCCCAGCGAGATGCCACGGGGTTCACCAGAGTCTGTGCCCATGGTGGGCTTCTAGATGAGTTTCTACCACCTGCAACAGCTTTATCTCAAATTCCTCATCAAGCAAATAAGCACATGCCATAAAATATCCATCACCTGTGTTACTCCTAGGCTCCCTGAGCCCATCTTGGCTCTTGGGGTGCTGATAGCCCACGCTGCAAACCCCAGCACAGCCCTCAACCAGGACCATCCACCACGTCATGTCTTCCCACGCTGCTGTGGAGCTGCCCAGGTTTAGTGACTCAAAATACTCTGTGAGGTTTGTGGTTAGGGTTTTGGCTGGGGGTGGCTTTTTTTTCTTTTTTTTTTTGTTTTAGAAATAATCAACTAACTCCTTCCTGATGAACAATAACCTATATTCAGGTTTGCATTAAGATTATCCCTTGATTACACACAGCCCACACCACCTCTATGTAAGTATTATGGAGTTTTCCATGGTTAACTTCTAATTAGATTCCCCAGCTGAGCACAAGAACTGTGGGATGATAGGCAAGCCCACAAACAGCACAGTACCACCAGCCCCTGCACTTCCAGTGGGAATCTCTCCTGGAAAAGAAAGCAGGCAACACTGAGCCTGCCCACAGCCAAACCATCTCCATCACCATAAACATGCACTGCCTTCACAGTTGTAGGGCATGGGACATCCAGAGATACACACTTCTCTTAGTGATAACTTAAGATTACTCATTCATTTACCCCAAAATCAAGCGCGTTTGCGACTGGAAGAGGTGGCTCTGCTCTGGAAAAAGAATACAAGTCTGCTGCAACATCTGGAGAGGAGAATAAATATGAAATCATTTGCATCTGGGGCCATTGGACGTGAAGTTCTACTCAGGCTGTACCAGCGTTGCTGATGACCAGCTGCTGTCTGTCACCTCTGCCCATCACTCCTCTGCCATCCAGCCCTGCAGCTGGGGAGTCCCGAGGCCATACAGGGAGAGGGAGGGGAAGAGCTGGATTTGATGGCACCATTCTAAGCCATTCCAATTTTTCAACAACACAAACTGGTCATACTGGAATGAAGTTCACTAGAACCCATTCATTTGAAGTTTATAAGTTGGCCTAATAATAAAAGGCAACTACCATACAGTCCGTTTTGTTTGTTTGTTTTTTTTTTTTGTCAGGCACTGCCTAAATCCCAGCCTTCTCCTTTTTGGCCCTAGTTTCAGACTCTCTTCCCAGGAAAATGTTTGTAAAAATAATTTGCTATAATTAGAAAAATGTTTCATTGAAAATTCATTGCTGGAAGCCTGTCCTGCCAGTCGGAGTTAGGCAGGCTCCAAGACACCTCTTTCTGTGACATGTTCCTGCTGAACTGACAACCAAAGTGACGCCCATGTTTATTTTACAAAAGCTGGGCTTTGAGTTCCAGATCCCAGAATCAAAGCATTATGGGTGGGTTGCTACAACTATTAAAAATATCAGTTGACTCCAGTCCCTGCACCATGAGAGTCCTGACTCCCAACAAGAATGGGAATAACAGGAATGGGATATGTACTAGTTTGACAGTGTCTCGTTTGACGGTGCCTCTGCTCAGGTGTAGCAGAGCTGCTGACAACTCTTGCTGTACCTGCTTCTAGGACACTCGGTATTTGGCCTCCAGAAACACCGACCTGCACACACACAGCCTCTGCCCCCTGTGCTGTGTAATCTGGGAGCCATCATCCCTCGGGAGAAGAGGAACCATCGTGGCAAGAGCCAAATAAATTTGGATGATGTGACCAAGACCAAACGATGCCTGAGGTTTTGGCATTCCAGTGCTCCTAGTGAGGAGCTTTGTTATGCCATGCTCTACCCAGGGGTCACCGTAAAGGCTCCCCGCAACTGAAAACCAGCAACTTGAGCTCCCTTTGCCTGTCCCCTCTCCACCCCTCTGCACCAGTGTGGAACCCTCCGGATACAGCATCCCACACACACCACTGCAGCACAAATCCCACTGCTCTCCCCATCCCAGAGCTTTGCTCCTGGCAAAGAAAAGCACAGTCATGTCTGTTAAAAAAGGAGATGGCATGAAAAGGCAATCCCTGATCACATCCCTCCAACCTGGGTTTCTGAGCTTTTAATATCCCTCCATGTCTGGGACTTTCCAAACCCAGCAGAGCAGGCTGGGGGCTGATGAATGGTAACACTCTGACCAATTACAAAGTAATTAAAAGTCCCACCGAGAAAGCTTTGCATATGGACTTTAATTATTATACCACAGTCCTGCCAGAAAAACACAAAAGAGGATCTCGGGCGGCTTGGAGGATGCATATGGCTTGTGTAGGTGGAGAGACCTAAGAGACTGTTACTTTGGGTAGGAAGTGGATTTTCCCTCTCCTATAATCTTGTTAAATTACCCTGGTTTTAAATCAATGATTTATATCTCCCTCTTCGAATCCAGAGGGGAAAAAAAACCCCAAACTCTCTCTAAACAGCCAGTGTGTGACAAGCAATACATTTTCACTTTCATTTACCCTCACACTGCAAAGTTCACTCAGCGAACCAGAAGTGTTATAGGAAAATACTGGGAAGGACTGGTTAAAAAGAAAACCTTGGCTGAAATGAGATGGAAAACAGATTTCCCAGGTTAGGTAAGTATCAGAAAATAATACATAATGTTAGACATCCGAAAAGGGAAGTAGGAAAATATTTAAAAATTTGCATAACCATTTGCAACCTAAGAAAAGAACAGAAAAACAGTTTCATTAGGAAAGGACATTTCAAACAGGAGGCAGTGCTGGATCTTCCTGGGAAATGGCCATACCCTGTGTCCAGCATTGACTTTTTGTGAGTGCCTGTGTAACTGACTGAGGACTCCCAAACAGATTTTCATTTGCCATTTGGGTTTCAGGGAGTCTTCCTCCCTGCTACACCCGTTCACATCTGTGTACGTCTGGAAACTTCCAGGGGGAATCATCTCGTAGCAACACTCACAATAATAAAATAGACTCGGCACAGATCTGGGACCGAGGCCATGCTGCAGCCCACCTGCAACAGGGAGCACTCTGAGTCTATCCAATTAACATCTCATCAACCCTCCAGTTTTGTGAAAGCCCCACTGAGCTGCCATTGAGCACCAAAGCCTTTGTCACTTGAAAGCCAACCATGTCCTAGGCTGCATCAAAAGAAGGGTGGACAGCAGGTCTAGGGAGGTGATTCCTCTCTCTATTCCACTCTTGTGAGACCCCACCTGGAGCACTGCGTCCAGCTCTGGGGCCCTCAGCACAGGAAGGATGTGGACCTGCTGGAGCGAGTCCAGAGGAGGCCATGGAGATGCTCCAAGGGCTACTGCTCCGAGAGCTCTGCCCGACAACCCAAATGCCCCATGTAAGGTATCACCAGCAGTGACAGCAGAGAGGAACTGCGTGTCCCAGAGCCAGGAGGAAGCACTGACATCACCCATAGACGTCTTTAGCTCTGCTGACTCACTGCTCTTCCCCCCAGCAGGAACAACATCCAAGCACCGGGAGCATTCCCACAGCAGCCTGTGTCACCGCTGCTGGAGCCGTGGCTGAGCAAGACGTAGGGGAACACAAAAAAGCCCCTTTCTATTTCTGGGTGAGGTGGATGGGTGGAAATCACCAGGCTCCCAGTTCCCGTGGGAAGCCATTAATAACCTCCTAAACACTGCCACATCCTTTAACAATCGTGCTATTATGGGATGCTGAGAGAGCAGCCATGGGGTTGGTAAGCCCACAGGGCTCCTTCCCCCGCGCTGCCCACCAGGCACTGCCAGGACGGTCCCACCGTGCCCCAGCCCTGGCACAGCACAAGATGTGACTTTGTGTGCCTGTCCCCACTGCTGACGGCGTGTTTGGAAAGGAAATCCCCCCACGTGGCCTGGAGGACCGCGAGGGAAATAAAGCCATCTGTTCATTGAGACAGACCTGCTTCAAACCAATTAATATAAAGAGCTTATATTAAAGGGTCTCGCTTCGATGCAAATCCCCTCTTGTAAACAAACCTTACAGGTCCCAGCTCCAGTCTCCAAGGCAAGTCTCAATCTGATTAGTTACTCCACATGCCTTAAATTCCCCCTTACCAATGAATAAAACTATCTTCTTGCAGACATATATTGAACACTTACTGAATTTCACCTTGAGGTGTCCTTTTCAGTGCTATTTAGTGAAACTGGGACCTCTCTGGGTGAAAAACAAGCAAATTAATTTGTTTTCTTGGCAGTAGTTGTCCTCCAGACCACCACCCACACAGCACAGCACACACAGAGTTCTATCTCCCATATATGCACCACTGTGGACTATTTTTGGATGCCTGCCTAAGGCAGAGCACACAGGGCAAGGTGTGCAGTTCAGTATATTAAAAACAAGAGAATGAATTAATGAGAAGGGAATTCAGCAACAGTTTTCTGCCATTCTCCAAGCAGCAGCCCTGGAAAGCACCTGTGGGAAAAGCACTTTCTGTAGGTGAGCTTACCTGGGCAGGATGAGGACTGAGTGTTGCTGCAGGAATACACACATGTTGGCTCCATGGACTCTGGAAAAGCAATGGGATGAGGAAACAATCACTTCTATGGAGGAATTGCATTTGCTGGCTGATGGTTGTAAACATGGTGAGCACCAAACCGGATCCACAGGCTGCTCCTCCACAGCTCACGGAATGCTGAGGAAACTCTCCACAGCTCCTTTGAGCAGCAGCCTTCCATCCTTCCACAAAGACCCATTTTTTTTCTCAGATATTTCTGAGACAAATGTCTTCTCAGTCTTTCCATTTAAATACACAAGCCTGAAAGTTCCCAAACTTGTAACACAAACTGGCAAAGCCATTTAGCAATGTATATCCCTGCCCTTTCCAGCTTCAGCCCTGCCCTGCCCCACTCTGCTCCCCACAGCAGGGACGTGGTTCCAGCTCAGTGGGCACGTGCCCAGCAGCAAAGAGGGTTTGATCCTGGGTCAAAACCAGCCTGATTTTTTTCTATTGGCTCATATATCACTTTTTTCCTAATATGTTTTAAAAACAGACACAGAGAAGCAGAAAATGACAAAATTATGAGAGCTAACTGAATATTAAGAAGCATATACCTCAATTATTTGCATTTCTTTCCTGTCTTCATAAGTAAAGCTGAGTCTCTAGGTGGTCTCTGGGGTGTTGACACAGAGGTTTTGCTTCTCTTCTCTTGCTTCAAGTCAGATCCCCTTCACTTGGGAGAAGTCCCTTTTCCCAAACAGTAACGGAAATTTCCCAAACACGTACAAAATAATAGTCCTGCAGTAGAAGACAGAAAGGGAGGAGAGTGAGGTGCATTCCTGGGGAAAAAAAGAAAAAGCTTTTCATTAAAGGTGAACTCTGCTGTCAGCTCCAGGACTTCCAGCCGGTACAGAACAAGGATCTCTCCCTCGTCCTGGAGGCAGCAGAACAGGAAGTTTTGGTCTTACAAAAAAATGAATGAAATAGTGACATTGTGGGTGCCCTGTACTGAGCTGCCCTGAAACTGCTGCATCAGGGAGTCTGATGGCAAGAGAAGAGCTGGTGCTGGGAACGCTTGTGAATTTGGCATTGAAAGTGTTACAGAAAACGTGCCATAAAGTTCCTCTGAGGCTTTAATTTCCCTCCCCCCCATCTTCCTTTGATTTTGATCCCCTCCTTCCCTCGTGTCCTTTGAACTTTTAAAAAGGCACTTTGAAGAGATGTCATAAAGCAGTGGGTTTATTCAGGATCTCCTCTTTGATGCTCCTGCTGCCGCGTGTGAAGTGCGGCCCTGCAGGATGTGGAGCCAGAGGAGCCCAAAGCCGAGATGGAAAGGAAAGGGCAGAAAAGTGAAAGTGTGGACACAGCGTTCTGTAACAGCTCATGGACACAGGCACAACCCAACATGTGCTTCTGGGCTACAGGGACCTGGTGTGGTTACACCCATCGTGCTCCTCTGAGCTCACTGTGGGCTGGCAAACTCAAGGGGGAAGTGATGGGAATGAAGGAGAGAGGTAGCTGGCTTGGAATCCTTCATCCCAAAGGCCATCCTGATCTCACTGCAAGGTTACAGATATATGACAGTTACACACACACGTGTGATATCCCCACGGGAACAGCCACGTCCATGTCACGCAGAGCTGCCACCCAACACCCAGGGATCAGCCCAGCAGCTCCAGGACTCGGTGCTGGAATCACCCAGCAGCCTTTCCCACCTCCAGCTGTTCCAGTCATAAAAGGCTCTGCTGTCAAACATGCCAAATGTTGTTAAATAATCAAAAAAGTATTAAATAATCCTGTGCACACATACTACACAATCACCAAGAACAGGCATTCGGCTTCCAAGCCCATCCCATTGGAAGACAATGATGCTGCTCAAGCAGAAGGAAGTGGCTGCAGAGCTCAGCACTAGCTCTTCAGACCCAGGGAAAGTGCATGTTCCAAAGCCCCCTTTCCATACTGGAATATATAGAAAGCTCAGACTCAGAGAATCATCAGGGTAGGAAAAGTCCTCTAAAGTCATTGAATCCAGCCTCACTGCAGCCCAGGCTTAGGCTGGGTGACTTTTTTCCCTTCCTGAATGTCTTTCTGAACTAAAATTGGACATTTCCATGGCAAAGTTGGTTTTGCAGCACAGGACTTCATGGCACAACGCCACCAGTTGGAGCCTCTCAACTTTATTTAACCTTTGCATAGGGAATTGCATTAACTCATCCAAGAGAACCTCTCGGCAAGGGAGAAACAGATGTTCAGGCATTAGATAAGCTACAAGCAAGTCCATGGCTTTTATCAGCAGGGACGTGGGTTTGGGGTCAGTTTTGTAATTTTTAGTGGTTGACCAGTGGTATGAATTATTCAGAAATAAGTGAAAATTATCCTGAAAATTTCTTGAGGGTCTTTTGAAAGGATATTTTTCCTCAGTTGCTCCTTTTTACCTGCAATATCAATTTCTATTCTTTTTTTCAAATTACAGCCAAGTATCTTCTCCTGAGACTGAATGCAGATGCAGCTGGAATAGGAAATTTTAACTTGCTTCCAACCTGGGAATTTTGCACTTTAAACTTGAGATAAGGAGAGAACTTTATTTTAAAGACACATGTACCCAAACAAAAGACAATTATACTCCCAGAGAGGTCACCCCGCAGTGCTCCTGAGAAACAAGTACTGCAGAAAATAGCAAAATGTTAAGGCCTAAGCAATTTTAGTGTATATTTATTAAATTATTCCCATTTAATACACTCCTAGAATCATAGAAACACAGAATGGCTTGAGTTGGAAGGAACCTTAAAGATCACCTAGTTCCAGCCCCCTGCCATGGGCAGGGACACCTTCCACTAGACCAGGTTGCTCCAAGCCCCAAACTTGGCCTTGAACACTTCCAGGCATGGGGCAGCCACAGCTTCTCTGGGCAACCTGTGCCAGGGCCTCACCACTCTCACAGGGAAGAAATTCTTCCTAATATCTAATCTAAACCTGCCCTTTTTCAGTTGAAAGCTATTCCCCCCTTGTCCTGTCACTCCAGGCCCTTGTCCGAAGTTCAGCTCTCCTGGAGCCTTTAGGTACTGGAAGGCTGCTATTATATATGTGTATATGTATATATATATACATACACATATATACAGAGATGATATATACATATATATATATACATATATACACACGAAGTCAAATAAGGAGATTTGGGGCATTACAACCCCTCTACATTTAGGATTGTCTTCTTGAGATGTCCAGAAGAAAGGCCAGCCCTTTTTATCAACACCCAAGCAAAGCAGTACCTGCACTGCCCTGAAGATCTTACAGAAGACAAGGGAAATCTGACAAAACCACCAGGGTTCTTCTTGGTACAGCCAAGTAGCCTTGGGAAGCACCATGGTAGCCTGGTTCCTCCTGCAGCTGCTCCCTTCACACAAGCATCCTTGAGGAAAGCAACCAAAGAGAAAAAATTTAGGTAGTAAATGAAAAAGGAGTATTCAGTGAAGGACATTTTGTGTTACGGTAGATTTTTTTAAAGACATATTCAAAAAATGAAAGCTGCAAATATAAAACCTGGCACTACAGAGAAACCCAGCACTCAGCCTGTCTGCATCAGGCTACCCAAACAGCACCCAAAACTCAAGCCCTGAGGTTTTTATCCTCCTTAAGCCCTGCTCCCCCATTCACATGGGGCATCTCCTCCATGTTGTGCCTGGGGCTTCCCAAGGACCTTCACCAAGAGGAGAGGAAGGAACAGAGAGCTGCCCTGCCATGGCCAAACCCATTTTGCAGCAAAGTAGGTCAAATTGAAATGCTTTGCACTCATCTGAAGGTCACTACTGTCTCCACAGCCTGTGCTGGGCAAGCTAAAGTGTATTTACATTGAGAAGATGTAGAGAGGTTTTGGAGCTGGAAGCGGTTAGAGGAAAAACAGGCTGTTAAAGAGAGCAGGAGCATGAGCCTGCATCCGAAATGGTGAATGCCAAGGGAGGAAAGAATGAAAAATCCCAAATATCAGTCATTTCCCTCAAAGGGCAGGAGTGTTAGTCCTGCCCTCCCTGCTCCTGGTAGCACTGGTAGGTGTTCCTGGTACAAAATACAGCACTGACAAGAGGTCTTGGGTAACATTTGCAGAGGGCTTTGACATGGAAAGCCTGAATTCCCCTTTACAGAGGCAAAGTCTGACAAAAGCATAATGGAAAGAGGCTTCTGACGGACAAAAATTGACTCCCTGGCACACGCACAAGCCCACGCAAACTTTCCAGCCTGCCCTCCAAGTGTGAGCACTGGTGTTTCCATTAAGTGCCTGAGAGCTCAGAAAGCATCCGGAGAAAAAGTAAACTCATGATTAGACTGAGCACAACTTTTTCCTTGAATTTCTGCAGAATTATTACAAGTAGTTTTGCAACAGGAGCAGAGATTACCCTGGTCCTTTTGTGGGTATCTCTTCTGACTGCCCTAGAGATAAGAACACAAATGTAGCCATTTTGGAGTATTTGTCTGAAATCATTGTTGGGAAGATCTGTCAGAGGAAACTTCATATAGTTAGAATCATAGAGGAAGAAATCACAGAATTATTCAGGTTGGCAAAGATCTCTCAGACCACCAAGTCCAACCATTCCCCCAGCACTGCCAAGGCCACCACTAACCCATGTCCCCAAGTGCCACATCTACATGTCTTTTAACATGTGACTCCTCCACTTCCCTGGGCAGCCTGACTCAATGCTTGACAGCTCTTTTGGTGAAGAATTTTTTCCTAATATCCAAAATAAACCTTCTCTGGCACAACTTGTGGCAGTTTTCTCTTGTTCTATTCCTTGTTACTTGGAAGACAAGATGCGTCCTCACCTCGCTACAACCTTCTATAGAAAACAGTTTAGAAAGAGCTCTAGGTCTGGAGCCACACTGAACTTGGGGAAAGCCCAAAACTAGACCAGGCTGCCTTACCTGCCCCTGTCCCTCCAGCATGATCCCACCACCAAGGTGGGCAACTGGGAGCCTCAGGAAGGGGACACATCTTGACACAGCAGTTACATCATGGCCATCATTCACACATTGTACAGACTATCTCCTCTGCCCCCGTGCCTGGCTGTGAAAGCCATAGTACTGCCTGCACAGGAAAGTTATGTTAGAAAACTAATTAATGTATTTTGGCTGTCTTCTAATGAAACTCAGCAGCTGGAAGCAGGCACGGAGCCAGTGCCACGTGACCACTCAGTTCTCCCTTGGACACGTTTCAGGAATCCCTTTGCTGAAGTATCCAGTTGTCCTGCACGACTCTTTTTCCCCCCAAACTGAACTAATCAATGTCTGGCTGCAAGTTATCATGGAGGGAGGGGGAGAAACGTGCACGGAAAAGCTGTTGTACATCAGCCGCTGTGTTATAAATACGCAGGCGATGCAGCCATACACAGTATTTTACTCCTCCATTTATCTCCCCGCGAGCAGAACGGCTGTAAGCGGATGAGTGCCTGCCATGGAGAGCAGTTCTGAGTGAGGTTATTGCATTCTTGACTTAAGCCCATTTTTCTGGTTTCCATGCAAACGTCAATGAATTTTAAAAGGGAGCATTCAGCCCAGACCTTCTGATTCAGACAAAACACAGTATCTCTCTATATCAGGATTATACTCTTGCTTGGCAGAGGGAGGAATCCAATGGATTTCTCCTCCTCTCACTGTTGCACCCCCCTGACTGCCCCACACGTCCCAGTTACCTCCATTGGTTGCTGCAGCCGTTCCCATGAGCGCCAGGCAGGAACACACACTGTAAATGCACAGGAATATATATGCTTGCACCTCATACATGTACACACAGACACACGTACAGGTGTGCCCGGGACCAAGGACGGCAGGAACGTAAATATGTTTTACGCCTAATTATGGAAAGTACTTTGGCAGGAGGCGGCCGGGGCACAAAGAGCTACTATTGAGGTTCCTCAAGCTGTGGCCTCCATTCAGCACACAATTGACAATATTTAGACAGTATGGGCTAGTTCCTTCCTTTGCAAGGTAACTTCCTTGTCTGGCAGCCCTCGGGCAGGCTGTAAATGACCTTGTGTTTAAGGACAGTGTCAAATCAAATAAGCGGTCAAGGGAAAACCGCGCCTGCTCGCCTTCCCTGCATCGCCACCGTTGCTTTTCTGTTCTCTTCTTTCTCTTCAGGGTACTGGCAGCTCCTCGGGTTCAGCAGAGCTGAAAGCTCCATCAGCAGACGCCCCTGTGCTGCCCAGCAGGGAGGCAGCAGGCAGAGCGTGCTGAGTGATCCCACTGCCCAAAGCGGGGGAAAAAATGATGGCATGCAAATGAAGACTTACTTATTAATCCCAAAGGAATTTCATTTGGGGTTTTGTCTCTCCCACCGCTTGTCTCCCATTTCCAGCCTTCCCCAGGCAAACATTTTCCTATCAGATGCCCAAAGGTTTTCTGGTCTTTCACTGTGCAGCTTCATTACCAATCCCTTCCTTGCTGTCCGTGCCCTGCTCCGATTTGCTGCCCATAACACACGGTTCCAGACCACAAGGCACATTGACTTCTGGAAGTCTGGCTCTAAAACCAAATAAAAAGCTTTTCATTGACACTCAAGTGTAGGTGCAGCAAGTCAAAAGCCTTATTTTCATGTTTTACAGTGCTCCCACCTGAATAAATTCATTTTAAGTGCCACTTTTCCATTTGTGGATTATGAAAGGTTGGGAGGTCTGGATGCCATCACCAGGGACCAAAAAGCAATATATTACCCACTGCAGGAGTCTGTCAGTGCTTCTGTATCCCACAGTCATCGTCACTGCAGGGCATTTTAAAGCACTTACCCTGAGCTTGCCTTCAACACATGGATGGACGATGGACATCAGCTCTGCTGCTCACAGGGAGGGGTGGGCAAGTAGCCATAAAGCTATGGTGGGACTTGAATGTGACATGGCTCAGTGGAAAAAAAAAAAATCACTAATATAAAATATTTCCTAATCCACCCACCTTCCTGCTCCCCTTTGGAGCAGAACGGCTCCATTGTACTGCAGGGTTTGCTCAAGGCAGAGCCTGTGCAGGGAAGGGAGGTCTTGCACCATCCCTTGGTATGAACACACACCCCCCCCCCATCCAACCAGGACTTTTACAACAACTCAGTTTAGATACAAGTGCAACTCTGCCCATTTCCAGCTGTAGCACTCAGCACCACCTTAAATTACAAATTACATGTTCCTGTGGGTGTAAATGCAAGTGCGTGAGGCAGATGTAGCACACCAAAAGCTACAGTAGAAATATGGAGAAATAAAGTGGCACAGGATTGCTGGCTCTGCCTGTATTTAATTTTCCAGCCCTTTTTAATCATACAGAACCATAGCTTAGCTGTGTTGGAGCATCACTGTCTGCTAACCCAGAGGATAAATGTGCTCTGTGTGCCCAGCTAAAAGATCTGAAAATCTGTCCACAGTAGGAACATGCACCATCCTATCAAACACACAGAACATCAGCAAGCTCAGCATCTTCCATGGAGGAGGATTCACCAGGTTTAAAATCCAGACCACGGGGATTCCAGAAGCAAGAGGTGCTCTCTCAACCTGCTTCCTCCCACTCAGCACATGCAAGGTTTGCCACAGCCCTTGGTGGCTCTCAAGGAAAACAGGGAAGGTTTGAGTTTATTTCACTTGTGCAAGGAAACTCCACTGACAAATCCAACAGGCTGAGGAGCTGCAGCATATGGTTCCTCACTCCTCACACACACAGCCCTCCACAGTAATGCAGGGACAGAAGCACTAGGTGGCAAAAAAAGCCAACAGGTCCTTATTAGTTACACTCTGGAAATGAGCACTAATGTCTGTATAAAATTTCAGGTACTTTAATAACAACCGTGATGGGCATCAGCCCATATCCCACCAGCATGTTTTATTGTTCCCAGTGAAGGACAGAAGTGAGGGCTCACAATTATACAAAAAAAAAAAGGGGGAGGAAGGGGTTCAGTCCCAAATTGTTACTGAATAAATATTACCAAAGTAGAAATAATATCTTGCTGGATTTCTGTGTACCATTTCCTTCCTGGTAATGGCAGTGTAATAAAGCATCAAAATAAACAGTAATCGAAAAAATAAATGGCTGGAATTGGTCTGTAATTCCAGATGAGAAACATCTGCAGGGGTAGATCAGCAGATCTTTTCTCTTTTTCCTGGGCAATTAGTTGGACAATTCTGTGCTCTTATAGGTAAAATTATTCTCCCAACCTCTTCTATCACCTCATAAATTAAACCAGTATTTTTGGAAAGGAAGGAAAAATCAATAAATACCTCTAGATAAATAAGAGCAAAAGACTCCCCTAGATGTAGTTGAGCCTCCTGCCTCGTGACTGTTTCCTGTGCAGCCCTCCTCATTTCTAGCTGTGCTTTCTCAAAAGGACGGGGGGAAAAAAACCAACCCTCAAATGCTTTAAAATTTAAAAATAAGATTGTGATTTTTCTTATGCTAAAATGAACATAAAATAACAGATGGATTAGACCAACGTATCGACTGTCTGACTTGTTACAGACAATAAACAAGGACAGTCTCATTAATTTTGGAACCACCACTGCCAATTACGAAAGCATT